ACACACACACACACACACACACACACACACACACACACACACACACACACACACACACACACACCTTTTAAGCTTATTTCTCTAGCCTGTGTATAGTAAGCACCCTTCTTCACTGAGCTGCAGTAGGAACTGAGCTTTATAAAATATAATGACCACTGCTTATTCATATTTCCTCCCTAGAACTGACAGTGCAGATCTCCCAGGAGACAACAGCCGATGCCATCGCCAGGAAGCTGAGGCCATATGGAACCCCAGGTGTGGTCCTGACCTGAGCAGAGGGTGGGAAACTATACCAGGGGCCCTTCGGATGACCTTCCAGCTTCCTTTGGGGTGGGTGAGGATGGGATCAGAAATGGAAAAAGGCCTGAGCAACCACATACCCACTGCAACCTTGGAGCTGGCTTGAAGCGAGGTTCCCGAATAGAACTCTTAGTGATCAGGGAGTGAGGTGGACAGAAGGCCATCCTGCCTGCAGCTACGAAGCTCCCTTGATTTCTCCTGCCATCCTCTGGGCCTTCACCAGACAGCTGCGGGGGTTTGAACATCGGGAGTGGTCTGCCCGGGCTGTGATGGCTGACCAGGCTCAGGCCTGCTCTGTTCCACCCAGCAGGTTTCTCCCTGGCTGTGGGCCTTGGCTGAGCTCCTTCCCCTCTCTGAGCCTCTGCTTCCTCCTCCAACTAGGGTACCCAGCCAGCCAAGACTCGTCCTTCCAGGGCACGGACACAGACTCTTCAGGGGCACCCCTGCTGCAGGTCTACTGCTAACCCCCAATGGCCCGGCACTCACAGCCCCTCTTGGAAGAAGCGTAGCCAGCGGAGTGGAAGAACCAGGACCCCTTTGTGTGGAGGCCAGACACTGAGCCTAGCAGTGACCTCTGGCTTCTGCTTCTGCTGAATGATTTAGACCATGTACATTTCACAGGGCCATGGTGCCCCTGTCCTCTGCCTCTTCAGCTGAACTGACTGCTGCCTGGGCCTGTTTCTTCCTGTGGCCTGAAAGCACAGCCTTGGGAAGTAGCTTCCCAGTTCCATTCCCATGTCACCCCCAAGCAATTATGGAAACTATGTAGGTAGCATGGCCTCTATATGTGATTCTCTGGGCAGCGCCCACTTGTTACATTGCTGAGCAGTTTGGATCGGATCTTGGATGTTCTGTATTGTTAACATGACCATTGTTGCAAGTATATACACCTGCCTGTCGTCAGGGTTACACGGTCTTCCTGTTCAGCATTGTGGAGTAGGACAAGGTGGGGCCAGGCGGACTGTGGCTTCCCTTTGTCTGGACTGCCAGTCCCCCAGTCTTAAGTACCTGTCACTTGTCAGTGACCCCTCACCTCTCCCTGGTGCTGAGACAGCACTCTGGTTCTCACCTTATCTTGCTCTCGCAGCTAGCACCTGGCACCAAACCTGGGGCCTGAGCTCACAGAGGCAAAAGCAGACTCCCCTTTTATGGGCACCGTGGCTAGCTCCATCCAGGGCCCTTAGCTGCTCTTACAGGGGCTGGTTAGGTCTTGGTAGACCTAACATCACAGCTACTTGAGAGAGTGAGGCAGAAGGATCCCAGTACAGGGCCCGCTAGGTTAGTGGGCTTGAAGTTAGCCAGGGCAGTTCTTCAACCATTACCGCAAACAAAGAAAGGCCCAGCTTACGTTTCAGCAAGCCCTGGGCTGGCTAGCTAGCCCAGTGACCACAGGCTAGCCCAGTGACCACAGGCTAGCAAAGGGGGTTATTCTTTCTCAGCTTCTTCCTTTACAGACATTGTTTATTGTATGTTCAGGCACCCTTTGAAAAGGGGTTAACTATCATTTATCTGGTTTCCTAAGGGACAGATGGCCCCCTGGGGCTGTGACCACAGGACCAGGTGGAGCTATAGAAATCCAACTGGCCCCTGGGAGCTGCTGTTATCCAGATCTAGGCATGAAAAGAATGACCAGGTAGGGGTGTGGCTCGGTGTTGCCTTGCATGTGCGGGGTCCTGGCTTTGATCCCTCGCACTGTAAGGGGGAAAACTGTGTTCACCTGTGATCTCACCTAGGAAACTGCCAAGAGGATTACCGAGTTCAAGACTAATAGGGATACATACCAAGACTCCTCAAAAAGGGGTAAAGAGGTACAGCACCCACACGGCAGCTCACAGTCATCCCTAACTCCAGTTCCAGGCACTCCGATGCCCTCTTCTGACTGCTGTGGGCACCAGGCACACACATGGTCCATATACATAAATACAGGAAAACACTCGTTCACTTAAATCTGTAATTTTTTTAAAGGAAAAGATTACAGGACAGGGAAACCAGAGTAAGCGTTAACAGTCCTAAACTCCAGCCGCGGCCCAGAAACCAATTTCCCAACAGCTCTGTGAAGTACTATTTACATTCCCAGGAAAAAGTTTATCAAAACAGCTTGGTGCTCACTTTAACCTGCATGGCCCTGCATGCAGCGGCCCTACCCTCTGGTGGGAGCAGAGGCTCCAAGGGCCAGGTGTGAGCACAAGTACCTCCTCGGCCTTTCTGCATAGGACAGGTCAAAGACAAACAGTGGGCTCCACTGGACTGTCCCTTGCCTTCCCAGCTCCCTTCCCTATGCACTGTCACCCGGCTTCGCCGACAGTCCAGTCTGACTACTTCCTTCTGGACTCGGCTCCTGGTACTAAGGACAGCTGCTGTTAGATCCTGTTGGCTCACGGGTCCCTTTGGGAGTCCGTAGCCAGAAAGACTCCCCTTTGCTCAGAACCACATGTGGCAGGTGAGGTGGCTCAGAGTGGAAAAGCACTCACACAGATCTGGCAATCTGAGTTCCATCCCTGAAGTTCATGGAAACATGGAGAGAACTGAGCCACAAAGCTGTCCTCTGAACTTCATACATGTGCTGTAGCACATGTGCACACACAATAAAAACTGAAACAGGGCCCAGTGGTAGTGGTGCACGCCTTTAATCCCAGCACACAAGAAGCAGAGGCAGGTGGATCTGAGTTTGACGCCAGTTTGGTCTACAGAGTTCGTTCCAGGATCGCAAAGGCTACAGAGAAACCCTGTCTCTAAACAAATAAATACCTAAAACCTGTGTTACAGTCCTCCCTAAATCATAAGGGGAACGGAGATCCAGAATCAAGAACCTGCCCTAGTGGGTAGAATTCTACACAGCAGAATCTGGGCGAGTAGCCAAAACCCCAGCAGCAGCTAGAGAGGGCTAAAGGGAGGACACGGGAGGAGCAGGGTAAATAGTTTTAATGTGTAACAGGCCAAACGGGGAGGAGAGGACCCCCAGGACCCAGCCCTTCTCCGGTGAAGCCCCGGAGCTCACATGCCCGGGAAGTCCCATGCCTGCCCCAGCCCTAAGGTTCCCAGGTCCCAGGAAAAGGTGGGAGAGGAAATTTAGGGGCCAATCCCACGAGTTCAGGAAGGCAAGCACAGGAGTTAGTTGAATTTAGCTTTGGAGAAATCCATCTCTGGGTGCTGATCCATGAACCTGGGAAACAGAAGTGTAAGAGTGAAGCAAGCTGTCCACCCCAAGCTAGCCTATTTCCAGTCCTGACACTGGGCCTAACCTCCTCAGAACCCTGAAGAACCCGGGGCCAAGCCTCGTGGGGCCTGAGAGCTGAAGCCCATTTGAACCCTCAAGGATGAAGTGGGAGTATCAGCAGCGGCTCCAGTTTCCAGTAGGTGGCGATGACCTATTCTTACCTATTGCTTCCTACTCTTAAGGTGGCCTTGTCCTGGAGGTGACCCTGGCAAGCAGTCAGGGTAGGCAAGCCAAGGCCACAGAACCATGAACTTGGCTGGTTCATGCTGGAAGGGGGCAGGGCAGTCTAGAGTCCCATTCAGTGGCACGCTGTCACCACCCAGGCCTAAGTCCCCAGGGCAATCCTCCTATCCCCAGGTTGCTTACTTCTTCAGGATCTCCTGCTTCTTCTGCTCATCAGAGGTGGGCAAGCCCATGGACTTCTGTCTTTGGTCATACATCATCTTCTCCACCATGCTGCGAGTCTCACTGTCCAGGTCTGACAGCTAGGGAGAGGCAGAGAGAGGAATGAAGAATGCACTGGCCTACCTATCCCCCCAAGCGCCACAAAAAAGCTTCCGAGCCAAATAGGACTCACCTTGGAGTTTTCAGGGTTAATCTTCTTGGTATTGATTTCAGGGTCACTGGTAACCAAGCGGTTCCACCATTCCATTTTATTGATCTGAGAGGAGGCAGAGGGAGACATCCATGGGAAGGAAAGCTCTATGACCCAGGGATTACACCTCAACCCTTTTAGAACTAAACTCTCTCCCATCCACATCTGTATCCAAGCCCCATGCAAGGCCTGTGCTGGGACCAGGGGTATAGAAGAACCAGACTTCTGTCCACGCAGAGGCCAACAGCTACAAATCAATGCACCACAGCAAGAAGTGTGCGGTGGCCACTCAGCGTGGAGGAGAGAGGCTAGAATAACACATGGCGGTTCACAACTGTCTGTAACTCCAGTCCCAGGGGCTCTGACACTCTCACACAGACATAGATACAGGCAAAACCCCAAGGTATGATAAATAAATCTTTTGAAAATTTAGAAAAAAGCAAAGAACGAGAAAGGAGATTCTGGCTGGGAGGAAAACCAAGTAGAGGCAGCCGAGCCACCGTCTGTGTCGGGGAAGCTGTCTTTGGGCTCTGACCCTTTCCAGACACTGCCTTTATTTTCCGCAGTAAACGCCCTACCTCTAGGAAGGCAGTGTAGGAGACAACGTCACTTCATGAGGGCAAACTACATTCTGTTCACTGCTCTCCAGTCCTTAGAACAGTGCCTGGCACACAGTAGGTGTTCAAGCATGTGTGGAACTGACCCCACGAGCAAGCATGATGGGAAGGAAGAGGCTTGGCGTACAAGAGTGCTCAGCCTGCCTCTACCCACCCGGCGCCCAGCGAGGCACACAGCTGAATGGAAGCTGTTTCCTGACCACACGGTAAGGGCAGAGAGAGGAGTAAGTCCCCAAGGCCTGCCACACAGCCAGCGGGGACGAGGGGACACCCCCCCCCCTCCCGGCACCGTCGGCACCCAGGCCGGGCGGGGCCTCCCCTGCCTTCTTACCTTCTCCAGATGAACGGTCACCACCTTGCCGTCCTCGATGAGCCACGAACTCTCCTCCACCTTGACTTCATTGTACAGCTCGCCGTCAATCAGCGGGGGCTGCCCTTTGAGGCCCACCCGGAGGTGCCGCCGCTGGATGTCCACCACCACGTCCTTCCCCTTCAGCCGGAAGCTGACTCGGAAGGGCACCGCCAGATCTAGCTCCGACAGGGTCTGCGTCCAGCGGTAGTTGGGCAGGTCAGCCCCGTTGCCTAGGTTGGGCTTCAGCTTTCCTCTGTCCTTCTCATCTTCCTCCTCTTCCTCCTCCTCAGCATCCTGCTCACAGTCAGGGGTGCTCAGTGACTTACCTGACAGACCAGACTTCCACCAGGCCAGGCCCGGAACTGCCACTGGACGTAACAGTCACGAGAGCAGACCTAAGCATGGCAGACCCACACACCCCGGACCACTGGGAATCAAGATAAAACAGGTCCTGATCTCTGCCAGAAGGGCTCAAAATGTATCGTGATAAAGGATATATGGGGGAGCCCACTGACCCTCAGCCCACCCTTCAGGGTGCCCTCTGAGTTGTATGCATTTTTTTGTTTGGTTAGTTTTTGGTTTTGGTTTTTTGAGACAGGGTTTCTCTGTATAAACAGTCTTGGCTGTCCTGGAATTCACTCTGTAGACCAGGCTGGCTTCAAACTCAGAGATCCGCCTGCCTCTGCCTCCCAAGTGCTGGGATTAAAGGCGTGCGCCGCTGCCACTGCCTGGCGGGACTTGTGAGCATTTTAAGAAATATTTTATGTCTATGAGTATTTTGCTTGCATGTATGTATGTGCACCATGTACATGCTTGATACCCACAGAGTACAGAAGAGGGCATCTAATTGAAGTTAGAGATGGCTGTGAACCTCCATGTGGGTGCTGAGAACCAAACCTGGGACCTTTGCAAAAGCATCAAGTACTCCTAACCACGGGCCCTCTTTTCAGCCCACCTGTGGGTGTTCTTGTCCCAGTCTTAAGGCCAGTTACCAAAAAAGTATCACCATTATCCTAAACAGTGTCTTACTACATAACCTGGCTGACCTAGAACTCAGAGATCCGCATGCCCCTGCCCCTGAGTGCTGGCATTAAAGGCTTGTGC